TTAGGGTTGCAGATGATTGGAAATGAAACTGGATTGGCTCATGTAGGACTCTTTTTTGACGGATATAATGACTGCTTACTTATAACGCATCTGATATTAGGCAGTCTTAGACAGGTTTACTTTTTAACGTATGGTTTGGCGTTGACATGCAGGTAGCAGTTCTTGTCCTTTCCTCATGGTCATTCCTTTCTGTCATCAGAGATCACTAGTACAGGTGCGGGCATGTGGAAATAATTTCTGCCCGCCACTGCATATTTTAGTGCGTACAGATATGGAGCGTTTTTATGTCACTTTGTGTGTTTGCAGCCAGCTGCTATCACCTACGCATGTGTCCAATTTCCCGCCCTTTATGAGGGAGAATTTACAGCTTCCGAGTCGTCGAAAACTTCGGACTTCAGTTTAAAGACTTGTTCGCCAGTCAGTCCGACAGTGTTACAATTAATTGTTAATTTTTCCTGCATGGCCGACTTTAAAAATTCCCCAATCACCCTCACGTTTGCGGTTCCCATTTTGCCTTTTGGAGACTAAGACAAAGGAAACTGCTCTGTAATTTATAGGACCGTCACAAGGAATACTTATCGTCATGGTAGGATTTAAATCTGTCACAATGTCAGACTTTTTGTGCTTCTTTCTTATGCCTGCGGAATTCAGGACCACTTTTATTGCGGCCTATCAGAACAACTCGCATGACACTATTTCATTCAGGCGGTCCTTTATCCTTTCTTGAAGGGCCCTCTTTGGTCAGCGTGCCCCCAGCCTCGTCACCCCTCTACGAACCCTTCCATCAGCTCCTCGATTTGACCCGGGGTAAGTGTTTTTCTTTGTTCTCTCCGAATTTTAAGCTGGCTCGGATGGTATCAACTGCCGTGCCTCGAAGACGCCGTTTCGATGCTTCAATGTCACCCATGGGCTACTTGACAGAACGACTACGGGTCCTGTGTGGGAGATGGTCTCTTTCTCTCTCGCCTGCCATGGCTACCAGGCACCGTGTTTCTTTCATCTAAACCAGGGATGTGAACTGACTAGGCATCCACTTGAGCGAAAAGATAGATAAGGCGTACGGATCAGGCTTAACTGCACAATTTTTAAAGTTCACTAAACTTATTGGGAATGTCCGATAAGTCCGGTCTCACAAGCGCTGAACAGTTAGTTTTGAAATTCATCCGTCCCATCCATCAGATTCATTTTTTCTTTACTTATGATGTACATTTTTCCAATGTATTAGGACATTATTGAATTCTACCTGAACATGCGCCTCCTCGCTGACTGCCTGGATGCCAGGGATAAGGAAAAACCTGCATGTGGTAAGAAAAACTTATGCTTCGCGCTTCTTAATTTCACGGCATTTTACGGAGTTCTGTAGCAAATAGATGTGCGCAATTCCGCACGATTTCTGAGCCGCACTACGAGTGGACGCTTTCAAAGGTGGCCGTGTATATCAGTAGTAACTTTTTATTGCGTTCATCTGCTGCGTTCTTCTAAGAAATCGTTTGCCTTTAGACATATACTTCTCGGTTAGTATTTAGCTTTCTGCAACCATCTGCCACGGACATATCTTGGAAGCGTCCCGCTATCCCAATAGTGTTGAAGTTTTCGGCAGAAGTTCACGAGTTCACTG